CACCTTCCTCCTCTATATCTGTCCCCTTTCCTTTAATACTCTCTAATTTATGGGCAGTTCCTCTGTCCTCCACCACCACAAGTTGTTTACCATGCCTCATAATCTGATCTTCACCTTGAATCATAGGAACATCATTGCATTCATTAACTTCAGAGCTGAGCACCAGAGCTACTGACATATTATACCTTGGAGATTAGCCATAGGATGGTCTTCACTGGCCTTTCTAGGAGACTTATCAGCTGCCACCTCCTCCTCAGGAATTGCGTTGGATGGATCACCTGATTGCCTCAGATTACTATTTGTTTGGGATGGGGTTGAGTTTTGCGAGGAACCTCCCATCCTTCCTGTTTCCATGGCTTTCAACCATTCACCAAACTGCCCCACTCTCTGATTGCCTTCTTCAATATCCTTAGCTCTAGAATTGCAAGCCCTCTCCAGATGGCCTACCAATCCACAGTAAAAGCAGCAAGTAACTAGCTTCTCATACAGAAATGTTACCCCCAGCCTTTGGTCTCTAAGCTTAATATGAGCACACCTAAGAATTGGCTCAGCCACATCATGTGAAACTAATAGTCTGAGATAACTGCCATGGACGCCTCCAGATTTAACTACAATGGCATTCTTGATTTTCTTGAACAGGCTACCAATCTTTCTGCCCACCTCAATGCTCAACCAATTTAGCGGAAGCTTATGGACTTGCACCCATAAAGATATTTCACTGAATCCCGGATCAAGAGCTGTTAGACCTTCTCTCCAATCTTGCAGCACCAGATATTGATTTTCGAACACCCAGTTAATACCCGCTAACACCTTCTCTTTATCCTCCTTGCGACCAAATATAAATTGGAAGAAATTTTCCCCTATCTCCTTAACTTCAAAGGCCATAGAAGTTTGCCAAACCAGCCCCATTAGCCTCTTCAACCCAAAGATATTTGCTTTGCGATCCCCAATAATTTTGCCAAGAACACTACTACGGCATTCCTCATCGCTTAATTTGACATCGCTGTTATCAAGTTCCACATCACGACTTTCTTTCACCGACAGCTCCAGGGCTCGAAACTGATCCCCCAGATCCTCGGCCATTGCCGAACCCTAATTACGAAAACACACTGACCCCTAGTTTAGTCACCGCACCTAACAAGGAAGACACTCTAAAATTGAATAAGAAAGGAGAAATTGAGGAACTCTTCTCAAAGAGAATCGGAATCTTCAACAAGATACAAAAATCTCCGATGAGATAATATCACTCTCTGACGAGAGAATTCCACGTTAAGGTCAGTTAAGGTTACTATTTTCACATTCATTTGATACAAT